GAACAGACACACACAGCCCCTAAGGGCTTGAACAGAGGCCTCAGACATCCTCATGACACCGCACTCACACTGCAGGAGGCACAATGAGCAGCTAAGACCAAGGGTGATGGAACCATCCACGCCTGCCCCGCTCACCCCACCATCAGCGGTCTTCATGCAACACTCACCCAGATGCACCTGCTGTGCTTGCTCCTTGAGCTCGCGAACCACCAATAAACGTTTTTTATGGCGAATGAATGTGGCTGTCTGAGAGTCTAGAAATGCCATATAATTTTTCTGGGCTGGGGGTGCAGATGGAAAATAATTTCAGCATCATGTTTAAGAAAGAAAGAAAACTAGAGCAGGAGGAGTGAGGGAGTTAGAATTTAACCAAAAAACAGGTTACTAGGTTTTCCAAGCAAGATTTTTCCTTGAGTATTACCTACATCATTTTAGGAAAATGAACCAGATCTTAGAGTTTATCAACATCATCCTAGAATAACTCTCAACTACTAAACATACAACTGAATGAAGATTTGATACCTAACTCAAAGAAGGACTGGAAAATAAAAGGAGTACACAGGAAGCTGTTCACAAAAATAGGAAAGCCACTGAAATGCTTCCTAAACACGGGTATCAAGCCTATGCACTTGAACTGTCAGCATTTTTCTAGGTTATTAATAGTGGAGAAAATCCAAGTAAGAGCCAGCTAATGCTGTTGTCGGGTCGGGAAACATACTTTCAGTATCAAGTTAGGGGTACCTAAGGTGAATGATACAAAAAGAACCTTCCCATAGTTTTAATTAGGATCGGGGGGAGGGAGCAGGCATGGTGAAAATGTTAATGTATGTTAATATCAGAAAGGCCAGACATCAGACAGCAGACTGTGCTAAAAATCACACCAACTCCCAAAGATTTCTGTAAGTCAAACTGATGTCCTTTTATACTTTGCTCGTAAGGAGTCACAGTGACCACCAGAGTATTCTAGAACTAATAACGCTCATCTATTCGTTAGGAACCATCAACTTCATTTGCAAAAGTGGTTCTTTCCATTTTGAAAAAATTTCAAACCTACATAAAAGTTGCAATAGTTCAATGTACAGGTGTAAACTTTTCACCCAGATTTATCAATTGTTAATATTCTGTCAAATTTTTGGCTTCTTGCTTCTTTCTCTCTCTCTGTATACACACGCAATTATTTTATTATTTGTGGAACCTTTTGAGAGTAAGTTGATCGCCCCCTCCTTAATACTTCAGTATCTCTCTCCTAAAAATAAGGTGGTTTAATATTATCTAATATAACCACAATATAATTATTAAATGCAGAAAATTGAGCACTGATACAATACTATTTTCTAATATATAGTTCCTTTCACGTTTACCAACTATTCCCAAACACACAGATTCTTAACTGTATCTTATCACAGGTTTTTGATGTTCAAATATTTTATGTGCTATCACTTAACAGTTTGGCATGTTTTAAAATCCTAGTCAGAACTAAATACTAGACCCGCTGGAGAATTTTGAGTGACTCCATATAACACATGAAGAAAGGATGTAATAACGGAGCACTTGCCTCTCTCTCCTCCCCATCTCTACACTTCTAAACGAGGAATTCTATCTAAAATGTAATCCTCACCTTCTAATACGGAAGGCTTTATGTTGGTTTCTATAATATCCAGTCTGTTGTATTTGTATACCTAGAAGGAAAGATACAATAATTTTAGGTAGGAAAACTTTAAGGCACTGGAGAGTTAAGATACTTGGAAAGAAATGGATCACTTTCAGAGGTGACCAGGATATTTTTCAAAGGCACAAACCTCCTATAAGGCAGCCAATGAAAATTTGACTCATTTAAGTAAAAGCCAATAATATTTCACATTTAGAGGACTAATTCCAAACATCAAGAATAAATTTTTTAAATGGTTTTTAAAAAACAGTGGTTATCCTTAGAGTGGGTACCTGAACTGCTACTTAATTTCACTACCTTCAGAAGACAAGGGACTCCAGCTGACCCTGACTCCCTTGTACTCTCGCTCTGCTTAGCACCTAACACTGGCAGGATTTTTAAACTTCTTTTACCAGTCTCAGAGCTTCTTCCCAGGCAGCTCCTTCCAACAGCAAGAGTACAGCTTCTTCATAATCCTGACAAAGGAACACCAAGGAAAATAACAGGTTAATGACATAAGCATGTCATATTCCTCTATCTGCCTTTCTACCTATCGCTTAGTCCCAGTTCTCAGCATTGAGCCTGGCCTAGAATACATGCTCAATAAATATTGATCCAAAAGACAAAGGAGAGGTATAGACTCTGGATATTTAAAAAAAAATCACATGTAAGTGTCATTTCCCTATGTCCCTGAGCATCAAAACCACTAGAGAGGTCTGTTAAAACACCCGTTTCCCCAACGTCACCACCAAGTTTGATTCGGCAGGTTTAGGTGGGCTCCTGAATTAATAAGTCCACACTTGAAAAAATAGTACACCAGAAGAGTAATCTTCTAAATGTTTCTTTTGCTCTTTTAAAGTTTTTTTTCTAATTTTTTTATTTCAAAAAACTTAAACCTGCAGAAAACTGAAAAATGAGTGTAATAAACTACCCTTTAGTCTTCAAACATTTTTGATGCTTGTACCTTTACCAGTAAAAATTTTTAATCATGTACCCCAATAAATAACTACTTAATATACTTATAAAGCAAATAAAACAAAACACATTTTAAAAGATGAACTGTATAAGACAACTGGCTGGGTTTCCTCAAGTAGTCACTGTCATAAAGAGGGGGGAAGGGGTATAAACTAGATTAAAACAGATGTGGAAGATATAAGACACAAAATGTATGGTAAATTAAGCCAAATTAGATACCAGTCTAGGGCAATACATGGCCCTAGACTGGTATCTAATTTGGCTTAATCTACTGTAATCGGTTTTGGAACCATTCAAGGAACTCGAATTTTAATTATTAGATAAAATGTGTAATTATGGAAAGATGATCATAACCAAACAACACAAATTGCAAACAGCATAGCACAACCAGTATAATGTCATTTTAGTTAAAAATACATGTGTGTGTGGAGAGAGACAGACAGAGCAAGTGAGCTTCAGCGGGCTCTAGAAGGAAAGAGATGCTAGTAACAGGAATCTCTTCAGTGGTAGAAATGAGGTGTTTTTATTGTATTTGCTTTCAGTAGTTAGTAGATTAAGCCAAATCAGGTACCAATCTAGGGCCATGCATTGCATTTTGTATCTTATGTCTTTCATATCTCTTTTAATCTAATGTATACCCCTTGGCCCCTTTTTTATGACAGGGACTACTTGAGGAACCAAGTCAGTTGTCTTATATAGTTTACCTTTTAAAATGTGTTTTGTTTTATTTGCTTTATAAGTACATTAAGTAGTTATTTATTGGGATACATGATTAAAAATTTTCACTGGTAAGAGTACAAGCATCAATTTATAATACATATGTACTACTTTAAGTTTTAATTAGAAAGATTAAGTAAAAATAAAAATTTTCTTCCCACATCTCAATGGATTATCTAGCCTACACCACAATAACAGGTCCATAGTACAGGTCCACAAAGGAACACAACAGGATGTGTTTTGTCTGACCTGCGTGTGCGTGTGGTATTGAGGTTAAAATCACATACAATTAATCATTTTAAAGTGTACAATTTGATATTTACTGTATTCACAATGTTGTGTAACCACAAAAGTATTTTTATCAGCCCATAAAAACACTCCATACCCATTTAGTAATCCTCTCCGACCCTCACTCTCCTCATTCCCTGGTAACCTCTCATCTGCTTTCTATCTTGCTAGATTTGTCTAGTCTAGATCTGTCATATAAAAGGAATCAAACATTAGTAGACCTTTTGTACCTGGCTTCTTTCATTTAGCACAACATTTTCAAGATTCATCCAACTAGTGGTTACTAGAAGGTAAGGGGGAGGGGAAGGGGGAATTTAAATTTCTTCGATTAAATTAATTAATTTTTAAAAAAGATTCATCCAAGCTGTAGCCTGTACCAGTTCTTTCGTTCCTTTTTTTTCTCAATTTATTTTTTATTGTAGTAAAATATATATAACAAAATTTACTATTTTAACTACTTTTTAGTGTACAGTTCAGTGGCATGAAGTAAATTTACACTTATGAAACCATCACCACCATCCATCTCCAGAACTTTTTTTTAATCTTCCAAAACTAAAACTCTAAACCCAGTAAATAATAACTCCACATGCTCCCATACCCTCAGCCTCTGGCAACCACCATTCTACTTCTTGTCTCTATGAATCTGACTACTCTAGGTATTGCATATAAGTAGAATCATACAATATTTGTCCCTTTGTTTCTGGCTTATTTTACTTAGAATGTTTTCAAGGCTCATCCAGTTGTAGCATGTACTAGTTTTTTGCTCCTCTTAATGACTGAATAATATTCTTCTGTATGTATGTGTTGTGTTTATCTCACAATTTATTTATCCATTTGTCTGTCACTGCTAGACATTTGGGGTGGTTTCTACCTTTTGACTATTATAAATAATGCTACTATAAACCTTTGTATACAAGTTTCTTTGTGGACATATATTTCCATTTCTCTTCATATATATTTAGGAATGAAACTGCTAGGTAATATGGTGACTTAATGTTTAAGTTTTTGAGGAACCACCAAACTGTTTTCCACAGTGGCTACACCATTTTACAATCCACCAGCAAGGTACAAGGGCTCCTATTTACCCACATCCTTGCCAACACTTACTTTTTATTTTTTTCCCATTAATTGTGATATATTCCTACAATGGAACACTATTCAACACAATAAAAAGGAATAAACTGATATATGCTACAACAGGGATGACTTCAAAAGCATCACAACTTCCAATTTCCGGTTCGGCATATAAGGAACTTGGAAGTTGCTACTCCATCCTAACAATGAGTATAAAGCTGAAAAAACTGAAAATCAACAACTCTTCTTAGATCTGTGAGAGAACAGAGGTCACGGGGCAAGCCGCAGCTCCCCAAATGAAGAGACAGTCAGGTGGATACAGACGACTATGACTTACCAGACCAGAAACCCACAAACAGAAATCTCTACCAGAATCAGCAGTGGGGGTAGGAAAAATCCAATCTGTCATCGACAAAGGGCTGGAGGCTCACGGATACCACTAAGAGTTAAAAACCCTGTGAGGGCTCAGACTTAGGAAGGCTGCTACATTCTGTGAGTTTTTACCCCCAGGAGCCCTACCAGGTTCTCACAGTGAAGTATCAGAGGAGAGTCTTTTGTTTCCAGCAGGGGAAGGGGAAAAGTACCATTTTAAAATACACCCAGAGCATGCTGTTCTTCCTAACAACGCTTGCTCTCAAAAGAAACTATTTTTCCAGAGCCTAACCAAAGTGGGTTTTATCAGGGCCTAACTTAAGTAGGGGAAGGGAACTACCCAACTCCAGCTCCCTCTAGCCTTGTAGGGGTGAAAAGTCGAGAAACACCAGTGAGGTTCACAGGCCAGGGGCACAGGCTCACTAAAAGATAGAGACCTAGTCATAGGACTATAGAAAGCTTCTTCTCCACCTACACCTTATCATCACATCACTAAAGGCCTATTTACTGAATTTCCTTTTACTCAGTACATCACATCAGGTTTTCAACAAAAAATTACAAGGCATACAGAAAATACAAAAAACAGTTTAAACAGCAAGCCTCAGAACCAGACTCGGACATGGCAGGGATGTTGGAATTATGAGGCCAAGAACTTAAAATAAGTATGATTAATATGCTAATGACTCTAACGGAATAAGTAGACAAAATGTGAGAACAGATGGGTAATATAAGCAGAGAGACAGAAATTTTAAAAATCAAAAGAAATGTTAGAAATCAAAAGCATTATGTTAGTGAAAGAAGCCAGACGAAAAAGACCACATACCAGATGGTTCAATTTATATGAAATTCTAGAAAAAGCAAAATTGTAATGACAGAAAGCAGATCAGAGGTTGATAGGGGTTGGGAGTGGAAGGAGAAGACTGATTGCAAAAGGGGAACTAGGGAACTTTTGAGGGGGCGACAGAAATGTTCTATATCATGATTGTAATGGTTATAGAACTATAAACATTTGTAAAAGCTCATCCAACTATTAATTTAACATTGGTAAATTTTATTGTATTTAAAGTACACCCCCAATTAAATATATATAAATTATATATATACATTCAATACATATGAATTAATCTTCATTTACAAAGAGAAAAAGATGGTGGCATCTTATCCATTTAATTAACCATCTTAGGTGGTATATTACATCTTTCTACTCTAACTTTTTCCCTCTATTTGTGGTGTTGTGTGCTGATGATTCAGCTCTGGCTCCTGGCAACCCTACAAATGAGTGATGTCCACAGTGTCTTGTCCTCAACAGCCCTGCTCAGCTCCTGTAGACTCAGGCCTATGGCCTCTTTAATGAAGTCAATCCATCTCATATTTGATCTTCCTCTTTTTCTGCTGCATTATGCATATTTTATTCATTGATGTTTTCAGCCAATCACCCAATATATTTACTTTCAAGGAACTACTAATATGAAATTTTAGCTATTTTCTTTCTTTCACCCTTATTATGTGAAAGACACTAAAGGATTTTAAAACCACAATTATGTTATGCAAATATGCCCACTTGTTAACAACTAGAAAAACACTCTCTCATCAAAGGCCAGAATTCTAGAAGGTAGTAATCCTTGGTGGCAGCTGTGTACATGTGTCCTGTTAGTCTGCGGCAAGTGTCAATGTATAGTTTTATTATTTTCACAATAAATCCTATATTCTATCAAAAGCTGGTATAAGTATTTATCTTTATAATGTGAAAAATTGGAACACATCAAGCTACCTGAGATAAAAAGAGTTATTCCCAACAGAGAATGAGAGTAAAAGCCAAAAGAAGTGTCTAAAGTCCAATCACCTTGTTTTAGACTAGTCGTTTCTCACTGTTTCTGCTTTGGTGAGTTAACATAAAAAGTACAGCTTCCTTGAGATTTAACTTAGTACTCTGCACCAAGGCCAAATCACTAGAATATATTATAGTAGAACACTCTGGTATTCTTCCTCACAGAACTTATAATTATATAGAGATAAACTGAATTTAGATTTTCAAGTCAAGTCAGCAAGATGGAAGGAAATTATCTCTGGACTTCCTAACACAGGAATATTATCTCTAGACTTCCTAACTACCCATAGTTCTTTTAATTTTCGTGATCCCTAAGGTACAATGAGAAAGTCTGTGCTTCTTAACTGGGGAAGTTTTAGAAGGGAAGAACTGAGTTTACCTGGGCGTACTGTTCCAAAACTGTGGCCGCGTCTCTGTGCTTCCTCTGCTCCACTAGCTTTCCTGCAAATGTAATGATAAGCATTTGACCATGGTTGGCTTGCCAAAAATAGTACTACCAAGATGCAAGCTGAAATGGTGTTTGGTAGTAATATTTATATAAAAACGATTTCCTACATATTGGAGATTAAGCTAGATTATACATTTAAATTGAACTGCTTTAAAACAGCATTTTTGAAACTGCTAACACTATTCCAAAGGCTAATAAAAGGCAGTACCAAAAAACCATTCTCGGATCAAATAAGTTTCGGAGGCACTGGGTAAAACAAAGTTAAACAGATTATTTTGCTGGTGTTTCATTAATATGTCTTTATTATATATAAAACTATGTACTTTGTGAATTTCTTTGAG